TTCTCCCTCGGGCTGCTCCAGATGGGAGAGAGATAGGGGACGGAGGGTGACGGGAGTCACACCTCTCATCCTGGACGGCCCAGCTTCAAAGGGCCGTGACAGGATGAGAGGGGGGAGAGGTGGGGGGAAGCTGCAAGGAGGGAGAGCAGACTGGCACACCATGACAATAACCCCTGGCTTTTTTGCCAGTTGTGTCCCATTGGGGGGATTTACTTTCACTTCCTGTCCCATAGCCAAAACACGAAGTAAGAGGAAATCTTTTCAAATTAAAGGTATCCATTGGGGGCCCCCAGGTCACCAGAACTAGTGTTCCTGTTTGAAGATTTCCCCTCTATTACTTTTCTGGGGACAACCCAAAATTTGGGACTTTCTTTTTTACATTCACTTTTAATGATAATGGTAAACAGAATAAATAAAAGAGGAGGAATCTCCCTAATGGGCACAGACAGCAATAAAAAACCTAATAGGTGTTCTTATCCCTCTCCACTAAGACCTAAACTAAAAAAAAAAGTTTTGCCTTTAGCTATTCTTTAAAGTGATACTAAACCACAGACCCTGCATTCACTATATCTGGTCTCCCCAGGACCCTGCACTCACTATATCTGGTCTCCCCAGGACCCTGCACTCACTATATCTGGTCTTCCCAGGACCCTGCACTCACTATATCTGGTCTCCCTGGACCCTTGCACTCACTATATCTGGTCTCCCCGACCCTGCATTCACTATATTCGGTCTCCCCGGACCCTGCATTCACTATATCTGGTCTCCCAGGACCCTGCATTCACTATATCTGGTCTCCCCGGACCCTGCATTCACTATATCTAGTCTCCCCGGACCCTGAATTCACTATATCTGGTCTCCCAGGACCCTGCAATCACTATATCTGGTCTCCCCGGACCCTGCATTCACTATATCTAGTCTCCCCAGACCCTGCATTCACTATATCTGGTCTCCCCGGACCCTGCATTCACTATATCTGCTCTCCCCGGACCCTGCATTCACTATATCTGCTCTCCCCGGACCCTGCATTCACAATATCCGGTCTCCCGGGACCCTACATTCACTATATCTGCTCTCCCCGGACCCTGCATTCACTATATCTGGGCTCCCACAGTACGCAGAACATGGAAGTGCAATTATTTTAGTAAATATAAACTGCTAAATACCGTTTCTCATCAGCAGTTAGAGCAGTTTTGTGACTTCAGCAGAGCACTGATTAAAGCTTGTAGGATGAGTTTTCTTTCTGCTCTAGGAGGATGCAACCCCCCTGACCTTTGTCTGAGGAGTGCTGATTGGCCCTGTGCTGATCACATGCACTCTCCCAAGAGAAAAAAAAAACCTCTCTAGCAATACACACTAAACTGAGCATATGCATGTGACTATAGGTTCAGTCTGTCTTATCAGGTGTACATCTGAACAAGAGGAGGGGCAGAGAAAACAGGATCAAGCAGCCTTTTTACACAATGCAGAGGATTAACCCCTTAGGTTCACAGTGAGTATAACAAGCATGCTTTACTGCATATACAGACTGATTTTACTGTTGTGGGTTTAGTAACACTTTAAGTAAACTGTAGCAGGTTTTCTGGAAGTTCTCAGGTTAAAGAATCAGCAGGAGCAGATATGTGCTATCAGTTAACTGCTACCTGCTGTTGTATTTTGGCAACAGATTTGTTTGAGGGCCAGTTTACACTCCATGTGTTTCAGTTGCTTTATTTCTGCATCCAAAATGTACAGAAAGTAGGTTATATGGTTGTTAATGTCATAGTTCACATCAGTGCTTGCAGTTCCAGTGTAATGCATAGAATGAAGGGTTTAGAAGTACGTGGAGCAGCACACAGGGAATATGTAATGTACAAACCAGTGTACACAAATGAACCAAAATTTACCCTTCCTTTCAGTACAAATTCCCACCTCGACCTACCCAAATTCCCTCCAGTATAGAGCTTTTTCTCCCCCCCCCCCCCACCAAAATAATCTTTAGTATAGACTTCTTTCCCCCAGTACAGACCCCAACCTCTCCATTCCCACTAAAGACCTCTCCCTTCCCACTACAGACCTCTCCCTTCCCACTACAGACCTCTCCCTTCCCATTACATACCTCTCCCTTCCCATGACAGACCTCTCCTTTCTCACTACAGACCTCTCCCTTCCCACTACAGACCTCTCCCCTCCCAATACAGACCTTTCATCCCCAGTAAAGACCTTTCCTCCACAGTACAGACCTCTCCCTCCCAGTACAGTCCTCCCCCCAGTACAGATCTCTCCCCCCAGTATGACCTTTCCTCTCCAGTACAAACCTATCTCTATCCTGGAATCCACTTTTCATACCTCAGATACAGCAGCAGAGCACAATGAAGGGGACGTCTTCGCAGTGTAATGTAACACTGAACATCGGCGTCAAGAAGGAGCTTAGGAGGAACCTTCCTAGGCTCTGTAAAAAGTGCTTAATCTGAGGTTTGAAGAGACTGACAAGTGCAGATGGCACCACAGCACCAAAATAAAAAATACGATTTGGACTTTCACGCTGGTATGGGGGCCTGAGACAAACTGCAGGATGTGGGTACCCGGTGCTAAAGACACCCCTGCACTGCACAGCCAGGTGGCCAGCAAGACACTTGTTTTTTGGGTATAGACCCCTCAATACAAGGATTGTTCTTGGGAAATGAGAACAAATGCTAACCATCCTCTATACACACAAGAAGGAATGTACCTATCATAAGGCAGGAGGATCCAGTGGCCTCCAACAGCTGGTGAAAACTTGAAAATGGGTGTAATTTAGGATTTTTAAGTAGATCTGATGCTTAACTGGATCGCATTTAGCTTGTGAAAGCATTGTGTGTCATGAACACTTGTCATGTTTTTGTTTTCATAAAATACAGTTTTAATCTTCTTGCGTCCCAGATCCACTGATCTCATATAGCAGTGTTATGCACTTTCTGTCTCTATGCACTCCTTCTGCTGTTGGCTTGATATAATTGCTCTGATAGTGACAATGGTAAACAAGGCCGGGGCAAGGTGTGTGAGCATGGCCACTTCCTCAACTGCTTCCTGTCTACATGCATTCACTCCACTGGTTGCTGCTTGGTATGGTTTAGGGCAGGCTTCCTGATGGTGTAGAGGAAGAAACATGCCTACAAAATAAACATTGGCCACTCCATAGTCTCCATTGGAAGTGTTTGGAACACAGGCATTTTAATGAGACCATACATAGACTTAGGGCACCACTCTAAAGAAACATCCACCCTCACTGTTGGGTGCCGGCGGAGAAAGAAAAGAGCTCATCCCAGCTCTATGCAGACATTCCTGGAAAGAAAAAATGTAAACAGATGCACACCAAAACATCCCAGATACAAAGTCAGTAATACTCGGCTTCACCCCAACATGTTTTGCCATGCCCACAGGGCTTAGTCATGGAGTGGAGATCTGGAGTAGCAATAGGCACTTATGCATCCTGAGCTGGTGGTATAACAAATATAAAGCAAGTAAGGAAAGCATGGCCAGCTAATGCCTAATGAAAAAGTTGATATCAATTATGCTTTGGATGCCAGTGGGTCCAAGGTGGCCCTTCAAATCAACACATATATGGCACACAACAGAGGCTCGTCGTCATGTAAAAACAGAGAGCAGAACAGCTGCAGTGATCCAAAGTATAAATACAAATACAAAAGATTCAAAAAGTCATAAAAACAAAAATACTTGAATTAAATAAACAAAAAATAAGCAAGAAATCAGATCCCCTTAGAAGACTCAAAAGAGCTACCCACACCGAAAATCAATACAATGTCACTATTAATTAATATCGTGGATAAAAAAATAAGGTAAAGAAAGAAAAAAAGATCAAAAATGGAAAAAAATTAAGAAAATAAAAAGAGATGTAAACTGAAAATTCAAAGAAAAAATAAAATTAATATTAAAAGAAAAGAAGACAAAAAAGTGAAGGGATTACTTCTTCTCAAGCACAAAAACAAAAAATTATACAGGCATTTTAATCACACATTTTATTTTTGAACATTGGCACACATTCCACAATATGATGTGGAATAAATGGAAGAGCTGTAGCAATACTAGAACTCATGTTTTGCTTTTTTTTACATATAAAAATCAAAATACCATTAGTATTAACAATTAAAGAGTAGGCTTTAGTGCAATGTCCACCTTCAATGTGGCTCTGTCATCCGCAGTGAATTCTTTACTGCCGCTACATGTCCAACATCACTGGCCTTCCAGGGTGAATGACAGCCATTGTCATTCAACCCACTTCCTCTGAGCTGTAGACTGTCATGGAACTGCCCCCTGGGGATACGTCATCTCACTGGCCTGGACTCAGAACTGCGCTCACTCATAATTAAATATGTACCATTTAGTCCAGCAGTAAGTACTGCCCACCGCCACCTCTGAGGAGCAGAGGAATTGACTTTACTGGAGCAGCCACAAGACCCTTTGAAAAAGAGAGGGGTGGGAATCGACTAATAAATGAACTTCTGTTTGAACATTTTCTTATCTGATTCCTTATCCTTAGTTCATCATGAAGCTCATCACAACTGAAATCCAATAAAGGCAAATATTGTATTTTGAAAAAAAAAATTGTTTTAGCGTGCTTTTATGCTTTTATTGTTGAAATCATGTTGCAAGCTGGATATCCATATTGATGCATAAAAGAGGCAAGTACCATCAAAAATCTATCTGAAATTGATGACATATGCCACCCTTCTATAAGAAAAGATTCTTTGGTTTATTTATTTATTACAGGTACTTATATATAGCATCACCATCAATTTACGCAGCGCTTTACATACGGTGTACATTCACATCAGTTCCTAACTCTTCTGGAGCGCACAATCTAAGGTCCCTAACTTACATTCATCCATACACATACTAGGACCAATTTAGAAAGGAGACTATTAACCTACCAGCATGTCTTTGAATTTAATGTTTAGTTAATATTAGTTAATTGCAACATAATTATATGTCATTAACAATATGTTTAATGTTGGCGTGTCTTATGCAGAACAGCCGTGTAAATGTAGTTCTTCTGTCATATTGGAGAGATCATTGCAGAGATTTTTTCATACTGCTTCTCCTGGCACTCTTTGTTGGTGGGCCACATCTCGATCCAGGTGTCCTTAGTGATCAAGTAGGAGTACCTGTAGAAAGACATCAGTGTTAGTCATGACATTCTCATTACGTGTATGGAAGCTGCTTTTATGCCTGTAGTGAATACTTTATTTTTCCAGCTCTTGTAAAAAAAAATAAATAAATGCAATAAAATTTGCTGCCTCTGATTGACTCGTTGCCTTTCTCTAAAGTCATGCAGCCACTGCACTGGAGGATTTTCATTTTCACTGAAATACTTTCAAGGCCTTGAAAGTTTAGTCAGAATAATTGGATGTTAAAACTTTCTTTTCTCACTGCAACACGGGGACCGATCAAGTATTGATATCGAAGACAGACCCGCAAACTTAACTGTCAACTTGGTGAAAGTCCTAGTAGGGCTTACCTATTACCAGAAAAAAGTAGGTAAACTCTGCAGTAATGTTAGCTCAACCCGAGCTACTGTATATACTCGAAAAATTTGAATATCGTGCAAAAGTTCATTTATTTCAGTAATGCAACTTAAACGGTGAAATTAATATATGAAATAGACTTATTACATGCAAAGCAAGATAGTTCAAGCTGTGATTTGTCATCATTGTGATGATTATGGCTTACAGCTCATGAAAACCCCAAATCCACAATCTCAGAAAATTAGAATATTACATGCAATCAATAAAACAAGGATTGTACATAGAACAATATCGGACCTCTGAAAAGTATAAGCATGCATATGTACTCAGTACTTGGTTTGGGCCCCTTTTGCAGCAACTACTGCCTCAAAGGCATGGAGGCTATCAGCCTGTGGCACTGGTGAGGTGTTATGGAAGACCAGGATGCTTCAATAGCGGCCTTCAGCTCTTCTGCATTGTTTGGTCTCATGTCTCTCATCTTTCTCTTGGCAATGCCCCATAGATTCTCTATGGGGTTCAGGTCAGGTGAGTTTGCTGGCCAATCAAGCACAGTAATCCCACGGTCATTGAACCAGGTTTTGGTGCTTTTGGCAGTGTGGGCAGGTGCCAAGTCCTGCTGGAAAATGAAGTCAGCATCCCCATAAAGCTCGTCTGCGGAAGGAAGCATGAAGTGCTCCAAAATCTCCTGGTAGACGGCTGCATTGACCCTGGACTTAATGAAGCACAGTGGACCAACACCAGCAGATGACATGGCTCCCCAAATCAACACAGACTGTGGAAACTTCACACTGGACTTCAAGCATCTTGCAGTGTGTGCTTCTCCATTCTTGCTCCATACTCTGGGTCCTTGGTTTCCAAATGAGATGCAAAAGTTGCTCTCATCAGAAAAGAGGACTTTGGACCACTGAGCAACAGACCAGGTCTGTTTTTCTTTAGCCCAGGTAAGACGCTTCTGACGTTGTTTGTTGTTCAGGAGCAGCTTGACAAGAGGAATACGACATTTGAAGCCCATGTTCAGGATCCGTCTGTGTGTAGTGGCTCTTGATGCACTGACTCCAGCCTCAGTCCACTCCTTGTGAAAGTCCCCAACACTTTTGAATGGCCTTCTCCTGACAATCCTCTCCAGGCTGCAGTCATCCCTGCTGCTTGTGCACCTTTCTTCCACACTTTTCCCTTCCACATAACTTTCTATTAATGTGCTTTGATACAGCACTTTGGGAACATCCAACTTCTTTTGCAATTACCTTTTGAGGCTTTCCCTCCTTATGGAGGGTGTCAATGATGGATTTCTGCACAACTGTCAGGTCAGCAGTCTTTCCCATGATTGTGATTCCTACTGAACCAGACTGAGAGACCATTTAAAGGCTCAGGAACCCTTTGCAGGCGTTATGGCTTAATTAGCTGATTAGAGTGGGACACTTTGAGCCAAGAATATTGCACCTTTTCACAATATTCTCATTTTCTGAGATTGTGGATTTGGGGTTTTCATGAGCTGTAAGCCATAATCATCACAATGATGACAAATCATGGCTTGAACTATCTTGCTTTGCATGTAATGAGTCTATCTCATATATTAGTTTCACCTTTTAAGTTGCATTACTGAAATAAATGAACTTTTGCACGATATTCTAATTTTTCGAGTTTCACCTGTATGTGTGAAGACACTGGTTGTTATGGGAGGTGTCACTATAGACCTCTATGAGCTCCCTTTCTAACATCATAGTGAATATCTGATCCAGGCCCAGACTCCATACAGCCTCTCTTGATGTCCATGACATTCTTGACTCTGGTGGACTAAGTCACCCACTAGTGTATTATATTTTCTGAAACAGAGCTCTCTACCATAATTCCTGGTTCTAGTGCTGACATCTTTAGAGTTTTTGTATTAAGTTTTAATCCACCACTTCTCCTGTTACATATATCTTGTATTATATATACAGACTTGCTTAGACAGAATAGAATACCACTAGCATGGCAGTGACAGCTGTCCAGTAGAGTTGGGCTTGATGTTCGAGTCGAACATAAATTGGGCTCGAACATCGGCCGTTCGTGTGTTCCGTGAACACATGAAAGGTAAGGTCGTTCGACGGGCTCTTCTCCCGCCATGCCCCACATTGCACTGTGCCCTAACAGTGCATTGTGATTGGCCAAATTATTGCACTTGGACACAGGTCAGGTGCAATGCTTTGGCACATGGATCACGCACCCCCCTACCTGGAAATACAAAATCGTATATATATATATATATATATATATATATATATGTATATGTGTGTGTGATTTTATGCAGTCCTGCTGCCCTGTAGCAGTAGTTCTGCTATAGGGTGGTTGGGAAGCGGTTAAGGAACCCCTAGTAACTGTAAAATATTATTTGACAAAACTGTATCTCCTAATAAGAAGGACTGGGTGGAGAAAAAGCACAAATAATGACTACCTGGAAAAATATTTTAATGTCACTTACTTAGATGCCAGAAGCCACATATCTTTAGCTATTCCCCAGACTATGTAGTCTCGATCTATCTGTAAATTTAAAGCTTGTTGACATTTGTTGTGGCTGATAAAATCCCGTTTCTCGTTCACAGTAACTGTATCGATCCCTGAGGAAAATAAACACATGTATATATTACCTTATACAGTACAAAAAAAAACTTAACTGTAGGGAGCCAGAGGTAGTTGCACATAAATTTTTTGTAAAATATGTAAAGAAGACAAAAAGTGATACCTTTTACTGGAGAGTTAAACCATCACAAAATCCACTAAAACCAATGTAAATGGATTGGATTATCATGGTTAAAATTAAATTAAATGTGCTCTAAAATTATCAATCAGATGCACCAGGCATTTGGGTTCCCTAGGAAATACCAGGCAGTACATCCCTCAGCATTTGGAAGGAAGGCAGCAAAAATATAGTATATGTATATATATATATATATATATATATATATATATATATATATATATATATAGTATATAGATATGTAAATTTTACAACAACAAAAAAAAACAGAATAGCTGACTGCCCTGTCATACTGTATCTGTGTAACCCTAATATAATGTCCAAAGCCAATCTGTTCAGCAAAAGCATCTCACATATCACAGAATATATCATTTCTGCTAGACATGTGCAGAACAGAAAAAAATTGTTTTCGTTTTGTTTCAGGTATATTCGTTATGTTATTAATTTTGTTTCATAATTTGTTTTCATAATTCATTTTGTTTTGTTTATTAATTTTCTAATGAATTTTTCATTTTTGGAAACAATTAGAATTGGTCGAAAATTGATCGACCAATCCAAATTCTGTTTGAAGAATTGCTGGTTGCTAAGGAGTGGGCCGGGAAGCTGGTCGCTGCGTCCTTAACCGATGACTGAGCATGCAGCCCGGCAGGCCAAGAAAGTGCGGGGGATGAGCGACCGCCATCCCCCCTCCTGAACCATACCAGGCTTCATGCCCTCAACATGGGGGGATGCTTTGGGGAAGGGAGATCCACCCTAAAGCATCTTGTCCCCATGTTGATGAGAACAAAGGCCTCTTCCCCACAACCCTGGCCCAGTGGTTGTGAGGGGTGCGGGGGTGACTTATCAGAGTCTGGAAGCCCCATTTAACAAGGGGGGCCTCATGTGAGTATGTACCCCTACACATTCACCAAAAAAGTGTAAAAAAAATTAGTGAGTAAAAACACAACAGTTTTTTGACAAGTCCTTTATCTGGAAAAAAAAAAAGTCCCCCCGAAGTAGGTTCAACGTCAATCACGAGGATCGCCGGCCGCCAACCAGAAAAGAAAAAATTAGCTATGCACCCGATGAAGGCTCCTGCCATCTGACAGCTCCGCTGTCTGACAGTTTTTAAATAACTAAGGGGTGGGGGCCCCGATGATTTCACCGAGTGACCCTACCCCCCTGTTACATCATCGCCCGGGGGGCAAGCTGGAATTACTAGAAAACGAAAATACAAAACTAAACTAAAATAATTTCAACAAAAAATGTTAGTATTTCATTCAGAGATTCAGATACATTTGCGAAATGGCAAAAAATTCTAAAAATGTGTCCGATTTATATTGCATTGCCGAAATGAATTGCATATGTGTCATTTGTAAACATCTATTTAAAGAATGTCCATTATATTATAAGGTTGATCTGCAGAGGACAGTATGAAGAGATGAAAGAGGCATTCCACCTCAGTTCAAATATAATTATTTCAGCATTGGCTCTAAACCAGAACTTATTCCAGCAGCTTTGATTATAAAAACAGAAAGCATGAAATAAAGTAGAAGAATACTAGGCTTGGCTTACCTTCCCTATAGACCACTTTAATGGTCATCACATAGGTGACATAGTTGTCCATCTTCTTGATGGCACTGAGTGTCGTCTTGTATACTGTGGATCAAAAATACAAAGAATTGTAAACAAAGGGATAACCGTTGGGCAATTTTACATCCAAAATCTTGAATGAAAGTCTTGAATGCTTTAATGATATATAATGAACACTGACCATAGTCCACAGCAGCGTCACATGCCTTTGTATATCGTACAGTGGAATCCACTTTAGCCATTTGCTGCTGCATGAAGCAATTTTCTGCAAAATGAAAGACCACCGCGCATTATTTTATTACATTGAAAATACTGTACTAGTTATATTTTCATATTTTGGTAAAGCCAAAATAACAACCTAGTTTTCAATAGAATGGGGACCTCTGTAAAGTCCTTATTACTAAGATATGTGAAAGAATAGCCAGCAACTCAAATCTTTAACATTTATTATTATTATACAGTATTTATAAAGAGCCAATAGTTCGCTCAGCGCTGTACATTACAAAGGGGGACAGAACATGTGACAGAACAATACCAATACAATGCAAAACATGAGGGGATTGAGGGCCCTGCTCTTTCGAGCTTACAATCTAGGAGGGAGGGGATGGTGGCACAGGAGGAGATAGCTGTGGGGGATGGAGTGGTAGGAAGAGTGGAGGAGGTCGGCAAGTTAGCAGGGGGTGGGGTAGGCTTCCCTGAAGAGATGGGTTTTCAGGGTGCGCCTAAAGGAGAGGAGAGTAGGTGATAATCTGATGGGTTGGGGCAGGGAGTTCCAGAGGATGGGTGACACCCTGGAGAAGTCCTGGAGGCGGGCATGGGAGGAGGAGACCAGGGAACTAGAGAGAAGGAGGTCTTGTGAGGAGCGGAGAGTGCGTGTTGGGTGGTACTTGGATATTAGGTCAGTGATGTAGTTCGGGGCAGTATGGTGGACAGCTTTGTACATCAGCGTTAGGATTTTGAATTTGATCCGTTGCGCAATCGGAAGCCAGTGGAGGGATTGGCAGAGGGGGGTGGCGGAGATGGAGCGGTTGGAAAGGTGAATGAGTCTGGCAGCCGTATTCAGGATCGACTGAAGCGGGGGATAGCCAGCGGCGAGGCAGGCCAGTAAGGAGGGAGTTGCAGTAGTCGAATCGTGATATGATGAGGGAGTGGATGAGCTGTTTAGTGGTTTCTGGGGTTAGGAACGTGCGGATTTTGGCGATGTTGCGGAGGTGGAGTCTGCACAAGTTTGTTAAAGATTGGACTTGGGGCTGGAAGGATAGGTTGGAGTCCAGAATGACACCAAGTACTCTGGCCTGCGGTGCGGGTTTGATGGTAGCGTTGTTGGATGTGATAGAGAAGTCAATGGGGGGTGGTGTCCGGGCTGGGGGGAAGACAAGAAACTCGGTTTTGGAGAGGTTCAGTTTAAGGAAGTGGAGCGACATCCAGTCTGATATGTCGCTCAGTAGGTGTATGCTTTATTGGTACACAGTAGAGGACAAGGAATCCATACAGCTGACGCGTTTCGGCCACAGCCTTTGTCAAAGCTTACATCAAAAAGAACTAAAATTCAAACTTATACAACATAAAAGCCCACAAAATAGGGGGCGTACTTAATTACAATCATTGTTCAGTCTAATTGATTGCAGGTGAAAGTGAAGCAATAGGATTTCAGAGAAAAGGAGGAAAAAGAGAAAACTTTGCTAATGCATATAACTGCAAGCATCCTGATGAAGTTTTTTCTTTTTCTTCCTTTTCTCTGAAATCCTATTGCTTCACTTTCACCTGCAATCAATTAGACTGAACAATGATTTTAATTAAGTATATACCGGTAGGGGTGTATTTAGGTTTTGTGCTGCCCTAGGCAACACAAAAATTGGCTTCCCCCCATAGGGACACCCTGACACTGACTAACACCCGCCTGCCCCACGAAGAGAGCTTGACATTGACCAATAATACCCCAGCCCCCCCCACCCGAGAGAGCCTTCCACTACCACCACCCCCCCCCGTACAGTGGCAATCTCCCCCCAACCCATTGAGAGAGAAGACACTCCCCTTCACAGCTCTGGATATCCAGAGGAACAAGAGTCAGGCTCTGCATACACCATCAAGCATCCCGCAGCATCTCTAAGATCCCACCTGGTCCCCATGCTGCGTGTGAGACTTCCTATGGGGGATGGTGCTGCCCCCTGAAAAATGTTGCTGCCCCCCTGAAAAATGCCGCCCTAAGCAAATGCCTTGTGGTAAATACACCCCAGTGTACCGCCCCTAATTTTGTGGGCTGTTATGTTATATAAGTCTGAATTTTATTTCTTTTTGATGTAAGCTTTGATGAAGACTGTGGCCGAAATGCATCAGCTTTTTGAAGGATTAAATGTCCTCTACTGTGTGCCAATAAAGCATAAATGATAAGGATATGAGTTGCCGGTTATTCTGTCACTTATCTTGGATCTAAAAACCAGCCTGAGCACCAGCGCCCCACTCACATTCCTTTGATGAGCAGTAGAGCTTGAGTGAGTTGTTGACTAAAGTCCTTATTACTGCCTGTACCCCTGATGAGGAGATTTTCTTCTATTCCTGTCCAGGGGGACCAAATAGAAAGCAAGAGGAAATCTCCCCAGCTTTCAGGTTACATTAACATATAAAAGATCATGTGAGATACTAGTGACTGGGCCAGGGGTGGACTGACAACTCATGGGGCCCCCAGGCAATAGGGGATCATGGGGCCCCTGTGTCCTTGCCCATACTCAAAAAAGCCTATGAAAAAGGTACCAGGGGCCCCCTACTGACCCCGGGCCCTCGGGCAGTGCCCAAGTTTCCAAATGGTCAGTCCGCCCCTGGACTGGGCTTAAACCTACTTTAAAGAAACAGTTCCGAAAATGCAGCCTGTGCATGAATTTTGTCAAAGGCCTCTTAACACTCTGTGCTTCCAGCCATTCATTTATGGTTAGCACGGTAAACACCAAAAGGGATCTTTGATGGTTTCCTGAACTAAAATATTCCATACTTTGCATTGTATCATTCATAAGTGCAAGCTGCAGAGAACTTGAATGCAAACAGAACAATATTGACAACGCCGATAACCCTCCTCATCATATGTAGCAATCCAGACCTGTGCAGTTGCTCACGGTGACAACGCTGCAATGAATTCACTGCAACCCCTACAGCTTTATCACCCTCCTGAAGGAAGACTGTTAGGATCACCAGGTATTTTTTGAAGTTATAAACAAGACTTGGTAAATCCAACATGAGACATTTGTACTGCTCTAGATGGATCCATGCAATTGTCTTCTTTTCTAATACCAGGCAATAAATCCAACTTGTTTCTTCCTAAATCATAGACAATATGAGGATAGCAGGATAAATGCTTTATTTATCATATCAGGGACTTCTCACTGTTAGTATACCTAAGACTAGGAGCTGCCTGTCAGACTCTAGCTATAACTAAAACATTGACATTGGGTGGAATGGCATTTTAAGGTTTTAGGGTTATGGATTTGATGGAGATTAAGGACAACATAACAATACGTTTTGGGAATAATCACCTTGTTAATGATGCCATAAGAGAGCTGCACAATTTTTGGTGCACCATAAACTATTGTACCATAATGAGAAGCCACTGCTAACAGCAAACATATAACAAACAACTTCAACTATTACTATTTTTTATAAAAAATAATAATTTGCACCATATTTTACCTTCAGAGCAGCGGCACACATCTCCAACACAGATCCTACCCAGAAGTTTGCTGTCTTCTTCCACATGGTAAAATTTAGTGCAGCGGTTCTCTATCAATAGAAATCCATAACTTATGTCAGCTTTCATTACATTATTACATTACATTGAGTTTATATAGCGCCAAAGGGTTTGCTCAGCGCTGTACAATAGAGGGGGGGACAATACATGAAACAGTACAGCAACTACAAACAGCACACGAGGGGTTAGAGGGCCCTACTCTTTCGAGCTTACAATCTAGGAGGGAGGGGGTAGTGGTACAGGAGGAAGTGGCTGTGGGGGATGGAGTGGTAGGAGGAATGAAGGAGAGCAGCAGTTAGGTGAGGGTGGGGTAGGCTTCCCTGAAGAGGTGGGTTTTCAGGGAGCGCCTGAAGGTGAGGAGGGAAGGTGACAGTCTGATGGATTGGGGTAGTGAGTTCCAGAGGATGGGGGAGGACCTGGAGAAGTCTTGCAGACGTGCGTGTGAGGAGGAGACCAGGGAGCAAGATAGAAGGAGGTCCTGTGAAGAGCGAAGGGTACGGGTAGGGTGGTACCTGGGAATCAGGTTGGTGGGGTAGTTAGGGGCAGTGTTGTGAATGGCTTTGTAGGTCAGAGTGAGTAGTTTGAATTTGATGCGTTGGGCGATAGGGAGCCAGTGGAGGGATAGGCAGAGGGGGGTGGCAGAGGTGGAGCGGGTGTGAGGTGGATGAGTCTAGCCGCTGAGTTGAGGATGGTCTGAAGCGGGGGACAGCCTGCACTGGGGTAGGCCGGTGAGGAGGGAGTTGCAGTAGTCAAGGCGTGAGATATTCAGGGAGTGTACAAGTAGTTTAGCGGTGTCTTTAATTTCATTAAATACGGAGGGCGCATGCGCGGCCAGGGACGATGGCGGCTGCATTTTAGCTGAGCTCGCGTCATCCCCGGCCAGCACAGACTCACCTGATACGCGCCACTGCTTCCCTGCTAATAAGGGTGAGGCAGTCAACACCCACTTGGCACCCGGCCCGGCTCCAGGGAGAGACCTGTATGGGGAAGATAGGGCGCTGGAAGCCCCCCCTCCCCGCAGCCACCGGATTCGCGGCCCTCGCCGCTCCGGCGGTTCCTGTCCAGGCCGCAATCCCCGGCCTCCAGTATGCCCAGGAACCCAGGGAGAGATCCCGGCCCCCCGGTGGTCACGGAGGGTACTGCACCCTTCATCCCTGTCAGCTTCCATGCCTGCCTCTGCCCCTGACTCAGCCCAGATGGAGGACTCTGATCCCCATAATATAACTGGGGATCCCCAGCATACAACTGGGGGGGCAGCGGAATACTCTGCATCAAGAAATCATCCTCCCTCCACCCAGATATCTCAGCAAACCATACCATCTCCTTCCCTCACACTTTCAGCGCTAGATGACAAGCTGCAAAATTTTTTCTGCGCAATATTACCGCATCCATATCCGCTGAAATTGGAAAGCTGGCATTAGATCTCAGAGGGGAAATAACTCAGATTGGAGACCGCACGGATAAATTGGAGACTGAGTTTGATGATTTGGTGCAATACGTTCATGTTTTGGAGGAGGATAACGCATATTTGAGCATTCTATGTCCCAAATGCAGCTCCAGCAAGAGGATCTAGAAAACAGGGAACGGCGCCAAAATATCCGTATACGCGGTATGTCCGAATCTATTGCTGACGCACAATTACAACGTCACCTTCTGTCCTTCTTTACCGCAACTGCTCCCTTGGTTCCAGAAGCAGATTGGCGTATGGACAGGGCTCATCGCTCCTTGGGCCCAAAACCTGTCGAAGGCACCAGACCACGCGATGTCATAGTTCGCTTCCACTTTTTTCAAAGCAAAGAAGCCTTATTATCAGCTGTTCGTCACAAAATCATCTCTGGAATTTAAAGGTGACAGACTCCAACTCTTCTGCAACCTGTCCCCGATTACCCTGGCCAAGCGGCGAGCCCTAAAGCCGATCACCACACACCTTCAACAACATCATGTCCCTTATCGATGGGGGTTCCCCTTTCGGTTTGGTCGTGACTAGGGACAATACCCAAGTTGTGCTCTGTGATCTTCATGAGGCGGATTCCTTCTTAAAGCGCCTGGGACTTCCACCTTTGTCAGAGGATGTTTCCCCTCTGCCACCAACTCCGTCTCGTCCATCCGCCACCCCAACAAAATCTGGACTCCAGTCCGCAGAGGTCGCGAAGAGACTTTCACGTTACCCCACAGCGTCCACGTCACCCTCGGTCAGCTGATCCGCCTGTCTGAAGATTCTCTGGGATGACCTTCCGATGTGTTTCCGGTGAAGATCCTTCCCTCCTGGTTTTTACATAATTTTTCCACAGGTTTCCCTTTTTTGTCGAACCATTGTTGGGTGCATTTTTCACTTTTGTTTTGTGTGGCCGGGCATGACGACCTTTCTGATGTCTTGGTTGTCGTGCTGCTCCCGATTCTGTCTAGCCATAGGCCTAGACGACTTGGGCCAAATTGTTGCTCCCAAGTTTATATCCTCGCGGATACTTATGTCAATCTCTGTGTTTATACCTTCCTGTGTTATTTTACTGTTTTTTTGTTTTCTATTCTATTACATCGATGGTATTTCATTCCTTTTTTATGCTAACACATTTGCTTCAATCCTTGTTATTTTATAATGGCTTTGAGGTTTCTGTCATATAATGTCAAGGGCCTCAACTCCATTCAAAAACGGTGGATGGCTTTGAGGGAATTTCGATCCTCAGGAGCAGACATTATTTTTGTCCAAGAGACCCATTTCAAATCATCTGGCTCCTTTCGTTTTGCCTCGAGATTTTTTCCCCAAGCCTATTTGGCCTTTGATCCTTCTGGGAAGGCTGGGGGGTGGCAATCTTGATTGGGTCGCACTGCTCCCTTCGGTGTTTGTTTCCTCCAAAGTTGACCAAAAAGGTCGCTTCATTATTTTGGAATGTAAATGCTTGGTGACACTCCCCTTGTTCTGTTGAATTTATACGCCCCTAATACAGGTCAATTGCAATTCTCGTTCCCAAACACTCGCTGACTTAGATTCTTTTTCTAACTTCGCATGTGATTGTTGGGGGTGATTTTAATTTGATTTGTTCCCCCCATAAAGACAGGAAAGTTCTTTTTTGAGTCCACCCTCAAAGCGGCAATGCTCCTCTTCAAAATCCTTTCGTAGACTGATAAGGGAGCATCGTCTCTTCGATGCTGGGCGGATTAAACACCCCAACCATAAACAATTTACTTTCTACTCCACCCCTCACCGTAGCTTCTCCCGCTTAGATCACTTTTTCATCTCTGCCCACTGCTTCCACTCTTGGTCTCTTTCTGAAATTAACCCCCATTACCTGGTCTGACCACGCCTCTCTGACTTTTTAAACCTTTTCTTTCCTCCTGCTATACCCAAACCATGTCATGGCGCCTTAATGAGACCTTCCTCTCCACAGCTCATCTTAGGGATGAATTGTCTTCGGGGACTTGATACCTATTTTACCCACAATGTTGGCTCCGTAGCTTCCTCTTCAACTTTATGGGAGGCCCACAAGGCGGTATTTCGAGGACTCTGTATTTCTATGGGCTCGTGTTTAAAGAAATCTGCGGCGAGTGCTAGGGCCTCTCTTGTACATCAACTATCTTTGGCGGAACGACGGTTGATAACCAAGCCGTCCATTTCTGGACTCCGGAGGGTAAACATTTTTACGTGACCAAATTAAAACTCTTGACTCCAGTAAGTCTGCACAATCCCTCTTATGGGTTAAACAGAAATTTTTTTAACGAATTTTCCAACAAACCCCATCGTATGTTAGTCAATCGACTTAAAGCTCAGTCTCCTTCTACGATGCCTGATCTTTTAATCCAACCAAACGGAAGCCCTACCTATGATCCTCATGGTCATGGCAACCCTTTTTTGCTCATACTATGAGAAACTGTATAACTGTCTGATCCCAGATCTTCACCCGCCTCTCACGCAGTTATCCTTTGATAATTTTTTTGACCCCTTGTCTCACTTCCGAAACTATCACCCCCAGACATTGCCATCCTTAATGCTGACATTACGCTAGAGGAACTACTTGACACAATTAAACATCTCCCCTCTCGTAAAGCCCCGGGGTCCAGATGGATTGCCCTACTCCTATTATAAATCCTTTATTGGTATCCTGGCGCTGCCTCATCTCCTTTCCCTTTATAGAGACCCTTTTTAAGGGGGTCACACCCCAGACTGAATTTTCACGTGCCTATATCTCGGTTATCCCTAAACCCAATAAAGATTCATGCTATTGTAGACAACTACCGCCCCATTGCCCTGCTTAATTCCGATTACAAGATTTTCACTAAAATTTTGGCAAGCCAACCGACTGTCCGGGATTATTTCCAAACTCATACATAGGGGACCAAGTGGGCTTTGTACCTTCCAGACATGCTGCAGATAACACCAGGAGAACTATTGATCTGGTTGATCTGGTTAACCGATCCTCCACCCCTGCTGCGTTATTGAGCTTGGACGTTCAAAAAGCTTTTGACCGTTTAAGTTGGCCTTACATGTTCATGGTCTTGGAGGAGATTTGGTTTTCAGGGGCCCATTTGTAGCGGCCTGAAGGCCCTTTATTCTTCCCCGTTTTTCACAGGTCAGATTAGCCTCTTTTCTTTCCCTCCCTTTTCAGATGTCAAATGGCACACGTCAGGGTTGTCCTCTCTCTCCTTTGCTGTTTATTCTTTGCCTGGAACATTAGCCACCTCCATCAGGTCGAATCCGGATATTCGCGGGATACATTCCCATACCCATGAGTACAAATTATCGCTGTTTGCAGACGACATTCTCCTCACACTCACGAGTCCCCCATACCTCTTTACCGATTTTGCATCAGACCTTGAAACAATTTGGGGCTATATCAGGCTACAAAGTCAACACGTCTAAAACTGAGGCACTCCCAATACACGTCCCACCTGTCGCTCTATCCTCTCTTCAGGAAGCCTTTCCCTACCGGTGGTGCACCCATTCTTTAAAATATTTAGGTACTAATCTTACTTCCTCTTACCAAAATCCATATACGAGGCCAATTTCCCTCCACTATTTATAGCAATTTCTCACTCT